ATTTTCTTCCTCTCTTTTTCTCTTCTTTTTCCTTTTCTGAGCACCAGACTTCTGCTGAGCGGACATTTTGGTGCTGAAGTGCAAAATCTGAACTTCCAATAAAAGGACATCAGATGTTGATCAGGGGCCAAACCATTTAATGTTAGAGGTGGGGGTGGAGGGCAATTCCAAAGATATTAAGGACAGTTCAGACGAAAACAAATTGAAACTTCTAACTTAAATATTGCACTGTTTCTTTCCATTAATAGCCCTTCTTTGGGGAAAAAAAAATCCATAATTCAATGAGCCCTGCTTCTTCTGGGCCCCCCACCCCACTCTGGGCCCGGGACAACAGACCCGTTTGTCCCCCCCTGTCAGCGGGCGTGTGTAGAACTGTGATGGTCTGAATGAGTAAACTGATGAATATTAATTTATTTCGTTTACGTTTAGCTGCACAGACAGAAATTAGCTGCAGTGAATGTTAAGGGAGAAACAACATGAATGAATCTCGTTTTAACAGCAGGAACAATTAGCATCAAACACGCAGTTTGTAGAAAACACAGGAGACACTGAGTGAACTAGAATATGTGAGATTTGAGCTGCAAATTACTGACAGGGCTTGATTAATGCTTCCACTATAAACAGCAGGCTGCCTGTGACTTTTGTTTTTGAAATTAGTTCTGGGATTTTGTTTGTTTATTTGTTTGTTTGTTTTATTCAATAGAAATCCACCACTGAATGTGTATATTTAATCTGTAGCATCAGATATGAGAATATTTACAATGCCATTTAAATTTGTCATTTGTTAAAAGCATGCTTGAAGTGTAGAACCCTGCTGGTGGTTAAAACAAGGACTGAACAGTTTAGAAATTTTAAATCGCAAAGGCTGTAACTTAGGATATCCAATATGCAGCGTGTCTGACCAGAGGGTTTAAACTGTTGGGTCAATGAATGGGCCGCAAATTTTTAAGAAAATAGCAGCTGAATACAGTAGAGGCATGGTAGAGGCAAGACAAGAATTACAAAAACACAGCAAAGCTAAAGATCTAATAAAGATTTGATAAAGACAATGTACAAGGCATGATGAATTTGCATATTGACATGTACAGATATGATGTGGTGGATTTACATTTGGATATGTACACATGATTTGATTCTTTTAGGATATGTACAGTTATGACATGATGGGTGTTGTCCCTACATTTCTGTTACTGCAGTCAAAAATATTTGTGAGAGAAAAGACCAGTGGTAAACATGATGTTGTTGCACACGAAGAGCTGTAAGAGAACAGTGATATATCTTGTTGATTGATGTGGAAGAGCTGTAAAGACAGAACACAGACTTTTTGTTGTTGGGTTGTATAGGAGCAAACTTAGGTTGTTTCTGAAGAGCTGTGGGACGTAAACAGTGTTAAGAGATGATGTGGCATCAGAAGAGCTACAAGGAGAAGAACAGTGTTAAGCGATGTTGTTGTCCTGAAAAAGCTGTACGATAAGAAACTGTGTTGAAAATGTAGTGTCACTGGAAGAATTATAAAAAGAAAATAACAGTTTGTAGATTGTTGCACCTGAATGGCAAAACAGTGTTAAAATATGTTGTTCCACCACAGAGTAGTACATGAGTGTTATGTCATGGAGCATTAACATACCACCAAAAGACTGTCACCCAGGAAGGCCAGTGTGAATTTGTAAAATCAATGCTGAGAAGTCAATTTTAAATCGCAATGAAAAACAACGTGATTGCAAATTCGCAAAGCTTAGGATAAAGCTTAGGATACAGGCTATGCAGCACGTCTGACCCAGGATTTAATCTGAAGTGTCAATTAAGGGGCTAAAGGATTTGGGGAAAATATCTAATCATGATTGTTTTTCTGATATACAGTCGTCCTCTAATTTATTCATACCCTTCATTCATACAAACAGCAGCTTACGATACCGTATCAGGAGACACATGCCTTTATGCTGGTTCAGTGCAAGTCCAAATGTAAAGAATTATCTGTAGAAATATTCAGAGTCTTTGAAAAAACTATTGTGCAGTATGAGGAAAAGTTCGCTCGTCAGCGCAGATTGCTTGATATCATCTGGAAACCTGAAATAAAGTTGCACTTATTAGGTCTGTAAACCCTGAATGGTCTCTATGAACATATGACTTTGACTAATGTATGATTCTAATCATTGCTCTGTTTTCCTTTATGATCAGGGAGAACTGTAGTAAGCATTAGTGCATTTCTCAGCAATAAACATTTAGCATGAAATATAGTGTATGAGGCATATCGGAAACTGACTTGAATTCTTAGACTACAGCAGTGTCTCACTTTGGCTGACTGCTTTAGGGGGGCAGGTGTGTATTGAACAACAATTATCAATGAACTGTCCAATTTTCCAAATATTGGACAGTTTATTAATGTTTGTTTTTCTGACATCAGCCACTCTGACCAGATTCAGATTTTAAAAAGTGCAGGAATTTTGGCCCTGACTGTCCAATGTTTGGGGTTGATGTTGGTCCATCTTTGGGTTTACACACTCACTGGTCTTTTTTTAAGAAGAATGCCAGCTACCGTGTCACTCACTCTGGTGCTTAATAATAATTTATCTTATTCTCACCCCTTGCTAATGTGTTAAACTTGTATGTATGTGCTCAAGTTTAGATAAGCATGGTTGACCTTTTTTGTGTCCCTTTGTAACTCTAGAACTCCCACAGCTACATGTCTATATGGAGGAAGAGGTTCTCACTAAGCAACAGCTCTGTAATCAGGAAAGGAACTCCAGTCTGGACCATGAGGACTTCAAGCCTCCAAGGATAGAAGAGAAACAGGAGGAACTCTGCACCAGTGTGTGCCAGGAGGACACAGAGCCTCCTCAGATTAAAGAGGAACAGGAGGAACTCTGCACCAGTATTTTCCTGAACCACCTGGAGCCTCCAGCAATAAAAGAGGAACAGGAGGAACTCTGCACCAGTCAGGAGGGAGAGCAGCTTGTACTGAAGCAAGAGACTGATACCTTTGCTGTGACTCCTACTTATGAGGAAAGTGACCAAAGTGAACCAAAACCAAACAGTGAGCAGCTCTTCTCTCACAACTCTCCTGTCGAGCTGAAGCAAAAGAGCAGAAACAGCAGTCGCAGTAACAATGTGGAGAATTCTGCAGTGTCAGAGAGTCAGTGTGACACTGACACAGGGAAAAAGTCTGTAAAATGTGGCATCTGCGGAAAAACTTTTAAGTTTATGTGCTATTTAAAGAAACATCACCTTCGTTACACAGGAGAGAAGCCGTATGCTTGCGAAACGTGTGGGACATGTTTTAGTCGAAGTGGTAGTTTGAAACTCCACATGATAACTCACACAGGTGAAAAACCGTATCCATGTGAAATATGCGGGAAAAATTTCACTTTGAGTCGTAGTTTGAAAATCCACATGAGACTTCACACAGGTGAAAAACCATATCCATGTGAAACATGTGGGAAAAGTTTCACTTTAAGTCATGGTTTGAAAAACCATATGAGAATCCACACAGGTGAGAAGCCGTATGCTTGTGAAATATGTGGGAAAAGTTTCTGTCATAGCGCTCACTTAAAAGTCCACTTGACATCTCACACAGGTGAGAAGCTGTACAGCTGTACCACCTGTGGCAACAGATTTTCCCACCAATCAGCAGTTAGAAGACATATTAGAATACACACAGGTGAGAAACTGTATTCTTGCAAGTCATGTGGGAAAAGTTTCCGACAAAGTGGTATTTTGTTGCGCCACATGAGAACTCACAAATAAGTTGCACTCCTGAAGCATTTTCGGGAATTAAGTTTGAAACAACTTGTAAGAATTGGTCAAGCTTAAAAGTCAGTGGTTCAGATACAGAGTATCTTTAGGCTGTGCTTTTGCAATAATCCTCTGAGTTTCTTTCATGCCGCATTGTGAGAGATGGTGGTGTTTAACGGGCCTGTTTTAATTGTAGCACCATGTCATAATTTCAACACTTAATACTTGTTTTAAATTTTTATTTGTTTAGCTATTTGCATTGGTAAAATTTTTTGTCATCATAGAGTTGCACCACCTTCAACTGAATAAAAATAGAATGAATCAAAAGGTCAGTTTCATAAATCAGTCTCATAAGACACACTAAACTACCAACTTGATACTCTTCTGAGCAATTGATAACTCCAACCAAAAATACTATATTATTGGCTTGGTTGTAGAAGTTCTGCATAGTACAGTTTATCGGCATTCTAATTTAACTCTTTCACATTCAATTGGCCCGTGTGTACCTGGCAGTACCTGGTGGTGTGATACTAAAAAAAAAACTGGCATTGAGATATTTAATTTTTCTGTGATACATATGGCGACACTGTCCTTTCATTTTACAAAATATTTTATACAAATATATATAGGATTTTTATGGGGTTTTTTTTATTTTGTTTTATTTTATGCAATACAGTGGCATTATAATGGCCAAAATGATTGGCCTATTTAACCTAATTCATTGAATTCAGAGAAAATATTTGTATTGCATTTTCACATTTAAAGAAAAGGACCAGTGCTTTCACTTCCATGTGTTACATTCCTGGTAATGTAAAAAGCAAAATAAGACTTAAAATAATGTTTTTCTTCATGTGAATTCAGTGCATCTCATAGAGACAAAATGTACATAAAATGATACCCAAAAACAACCTCACTTCGAATAACTCTGGGTATCAACAGACATTACATTTTCCTGATGTTCTTTAAATGGCTACAGTAGAGGCTTTTATGATGCTTGACACAGAGAAGCCTCTTGTCTCACCTCATTTACAACAGCACAACAACTCAGACAGGCATGTGACCAAAAATTACTTTGAAAAAAGTGAAATTAAGGCCTTGTAATGTCAGATTCACACAAGCTAAAATCAAGAGATATTATCTACAGTGACTGAGACCAATGAGGGGAGTTTTCTGTGAGTGGAGCCTATATTTTATTGTTGGAGGCAAAAATTGGGGTTTCTAGAACATTTTCTCTTCCAGACTCATTTAACATCCTGCCCGTATTTTTATTTATTTTTTCTCACTGACATGTATTATTAACGTTAAGTCATGACTGCACTAAATACATATTGCATGTAAGGCACTTACTGATTGAATGTGCCACGGAATCTATCTCTTTACTGGCTACACTTGCAGCACATGTTTGGTGTATTGTTGTAGCAGTACCAGACTGTGAGTTTTCCTTTTGGGGATTATTGTGTGCTCAGTTTCTGGACTGAAACGTCGACCTTTTTACAGAATTTGTGTTGTAGCTTTCAGTTGGCATCTACAGATGACATGGACTCTGTTATGGATAAAGTCAATGACCAACTGTCAACTGGTAGCCACTGGGAAATAAATGCAGATATGGTCATCAGTACTCTGAATTAGAAGTCTGTTTGATTGAGTGTTGTCCTCAAGTTAGATTTTTTTTAAAAAGCTAAACATTTTTTGACCTATTTCTGTTTAAAAAAAAAAAAAAAAAGCCACACACACCTCACGTAAATGTGTTAAATATATTAACTATCACTGCATTATTTTAATACTGGAGAAATCTTAAAAACCTGATCTCTAATATTCATCTCCCTGTCATCTGGAGTCTTTTAGATTGCATGTTGTTTCATTTCATATTTCAATGTATTTTGTGATTGCTTCAATTTTTTATTGTTTCAGACTGTAGAGCCGCAGCGAACAAATTGTAGAGGATGCAGTGCTGTAAAAGGTGCTATATCAATAAAGCTAAGAAAGCTAATCAAAGAAGTTCTATATCAAGAATATTTCTTTTAATGCTGCTTATTCAAACTGATGGACTAAATGATTATTTAAACGATGAGTATCATCAGCCTCTGTCTGTATTGGTCAAGGTCAGCTGTCATGACCCTAACTTATTATGTGGGTAAAGTTTCATTCAAAATAATAGTTTGACTATCCACAGAATAACTCACACAGGTAAGAAGAAGCACCTTTTGTGAAGCCTGTGGGGAAATAATACCCCTGAAAATCCACATGAGAAGTCATGCAAGTGAGAAACTGTGTTGAATGTCATGAATTATGTATTGTGTATTTACCACATTTTAACTCGTAACAGATCACAGTAATATTTCCATTTAATCTGTCATGTACACAGTATTCTGAAAAACATAGGTGTTTATTACAGAGCTCTTCTAATACAACTTCTAACCTATCACACAGGGCCACACATACAGACAAACAACCAAGCACACTCACATTCACACCTACAGACAATCTGGAATTACTAATGAACCTCAGCATGTTTCTGGACTGTGGGAGGAAGCCGGGGAACCCAGAGAGATCCAACGCTGCACGGGGAGAACACGCAAACTCTACGCAGAAAGATCCCAGGTGTCCTCACGGGGACGCAAGACCTTCTTACTGCGAGGCAACGCCGTTAACCACAGCGCTACCTTGCTGCCCCTGTAATATTATCTGTACAGTATGAATTTGTTAAACTACTGACTTGAGCTGAACAATCAATTTTAAATCGCAATGATCAACAAAGCAATTAGCAATGCTATTCTCGTCACCTGTGTCAAATTCAAAATTAGCATAAAAAAAATACAATTTGATGTGTTGTTTTTGTACTGTTTTCATGTAAACATAGGGTTTAAATTTTTGAAAAACAAGCAAAAAAAAACTTTTGGCTGGGAGACTTTGCTGGGCGTCAGGATAGCGAACGGCGCTGGAATTGCAGCAGTCGGTTGTGATCTGGACATACTACACCAACACGGAGTCTGATGGGAGACTACACTGGCAGTTACCCAAGAGAGAAGGGAGCACAATCGGTGCGAACGTAAACAAAAGAGGGGGAAGAGAGCCGGGATCCATGCTAGGCTAAAGGCTAACCCCTCCAGACCAGCAGGATCCATGCTAGGCTAAAGGCTAACCCCTCCAGACCAGCAGGACCGTCGCACCTACTCTCCAATGTCCACTCCCTCGACAACAAGCTGGACGAGCTACGTTTAGAGAAAACTGCAGAGAGTGGAAAGATTGCTGTGTGTTTGCTTTAACAGAAACATGGCTCCATGACAACATTCCAGACAGCCATACAGCTGGAGGGGACGACATTCTTCTGGGTGGACAGACAGGCAGCTAGCTCTGAACAGCATCTGCGGCTTCACCATCGTCACACCATTGTGCGTGTCTTTGTGTCCCTGAAGACCAGGACCTGAAGAGGTTCGTCATGTTCAATGAATGGCATCGCGCATGAACACAGCGGCCCTGTCAGAAGACAGCGAGAATGAATGTTTAGTGTCTTGCCTATACCAGACGTTCATTCCGCAAAACTTACTAATTAAATGATCCTGAAGAAACGCTCTCTCATCTTGCCTGTACTACTGTGTATGTACAGCAAAATGACAATAAACTTGATTTGATTTGATGAAATGATTTACAAATCGTTACACTCGGTTTATTTTTATCTCCATTTTACACAGCATCCTAAACATTTTTTTTAAAAGAACCCCTTGGGGTGATTTTTTTTTTGACCACTCAGCATTTAAAAGGTTATGGCCATCCACACAGACGAGAGGCCATATTCTTGCACAACATGTGGGAAAAGCTTTCATCAAACCACTAAGACTCACACAAGTAAAATATTGTAATCCTGGGACATTCGTGCAAATATATCATCTGGAAACCAAGCTTGTCAAATTTAAAGCACCTTCAGACCAACAACAATCCTGAGTTTATTTCATGTCACACTGAGAGACACTAAGAGATGGGTCGAATAAAACTGATAGTCCGTCATGTTTCCGGGCTAAAGACCTGAATCTTGGTGCTATAATGGACACAGTAGAAAAACCTTAGAGTTGAGGACTGTCATCAGCTTGTGTCCTCCAGCTGCATCACATGTAAAAATGGAGCCTTTTCTTTTCCAGAGTAACACAAAGTTCTCTTTTCCCTCAACAACCATCACTTTGGTTTGCGTGTGCATCTAAACTCTGCGACAACAACAAGAAAACACCAAAAAAGGGCACATATGAAATGTTACAACTGTGTTCTGTTTTGTTTCGTGTTGCATTCTGATCTGTGAGGTTTTTTTTTGTTTTTTTTTAAACTCTTCCTCAGTTCTATGTAGATTTTGAATTCTGTCGTTGAAGCTGAGAAACCCGGGCTGCAAGGTGGCTCAGTGGTTAGCATCATTGCCTCGCAGGAGGGTTGCCAGTTCATGTCCTGGTGAGCACACCCGGGATCTTTCTGTGTGGAGTTTGCATGCTCTTCCCATGCACTTTCTGGGTTCTCCGGCTTCCTCCCACAAGGTCCAAAAAACACATTAAGGTTAATTGGTGATTCTCGGTGTGAATGTGAGTGTGCTTGGTTGTCTGTCTCTAAGTGTAGCGCTGTGATAGACTGGTGACCTGTCCAGGGTGTCCCCTGCCTTCTGGGAGTCATCTGGGATAGACTCCAGCCTTCCCGCGACCCTAGTGAGGATTAAGTGGTGTATAGATAATGGATGGATGGAAGCTGAGAAACCCTCTGGTGCTTCCTGCCAAGTGGAATCTGTTCTGAATTCTTTTGAGTCTGTTATTTCATTTCATGTTTCTCTGTATCTTCTGACTGCATCAACGTTTTTATTGTTTCAGGATGATATTTACAGTGACTGAATCCATTTACCTCAGTATTTCATATACAGCACGGGTGTCAAATCCTGGTCCTCAAGGGCCGCAATCCTGCATGTTTTAGATGCTTCCCTCTTCCAACACACCTGATTCAAATGATCAGGATCGTTATCAGGCTTCTGCAGAGCTTGATGATGAGCTGATCATTTGAATCAGGTGTG